ATCGGTCCTGACCTGGAGCCCAGCGGGCCTTTGAGATCACTTCAGTGGGATAAAGTTATTTGTGAGTGATCGTGACTCACGTCGGCGTTCATCCGCGCACCAAACTGCGCTCAGTTACAACCAGTATTCCAGCACTTGCTGCGGGCAGACAGGAGCTGACCTGAATCTGATCTGGTCCTGAAAGTCATCACGAGACGTCCTGCGGGCTTTTATTTGTCGGCCGATTTAATTAAAATCCATAATATTCATGAAGTCTGGAGTGAAGAGTCCAGCCGATCTGTGCGTCAACAAGCAAGGCAGCAACAAAAACGGACGGATCGTTAATGGAGTCTGGCGAGAGAGAAACGTGGAGTCAGCAACAGTTAAAACATTAACTCACCTCGAACTATTGCAAGTCCTGTAATCTAAAACTTCGAGCAGCAGCACTACGCTCTGTACCTGTAGTACTATGATGCACTGAGTGGTACTTTGCAATACTGCAGTAGATTCTAGTATAACAGTGTCATATCAAGTACCAAGACACAGCAGTACAATGTGCAGTAACCATGCTCTGTACTAGCAGCAGTAGTATTAGGATGAGTAGTACTGTAATACTCTATAGTAAATACACTGCTCAAAAAAATAAAGGGAACACTAAAACAACACAATGTAACTCTGTGTCAATCACACTCCTGTGAAATCAAACTGTCCACTCAGGAAGCAACACTGATTGACAATCAGTTTCACATGCTGTTGTGCAAATGGAAAAGACAACAGGTGGAAATTATAGGCAATTAGCGAGACACCCCCAATAAAGGAGTGGTTCTGCAGGTGGGACCACAGACCACTTCTCAGTTCCTGTGCTTCCTGGCTGATGTTTTGGTCACTTTTGAATGCTGGTGGTGCTTTCACTCTAGTGGTAGCATGAGACGGAGTCTACAACCCACACAAGTGGCTCAGGTAGTGCAGCTCATCCAGGATGGCACATCAATGCGAGCTGTGACAAGAAGGTTTGCTGTGTCTGTCAGCGTATTGTCCAGAGCATGGGGCGCTACCAGGAGACAGGCCAGTACATCAGGAGACGTGGAGGAGGCCGTAAGAGGGCAACAACCCAGCAGCAGGACCGCTACCTCCGCCTTTGTGCAAGGAGGAGCAGGAGGAGCTCTGCCAGAGCCCTGCAAAATGACCTCCAGCATGTGTCTGCTCAAACAGTCAGAAACAGACTCCATGAGGGTGGTACGAGGGCCCGACGTCCACAGGTGGGGGTTGTGCTTACAGCCCAACACCGTGCAGGACCTCCATGGGTTGATAAATTTGATTTCCATTGATAATTTTTGTGTATTTTTGTTGTCAGCACATTCAACTATGTAAAGAAAGGAGTATTTAATGAGATTATTTCACTCATTCAGATTTAGGATGTGTTATTTTAGTGTAGTGTCCCTGTTGTTTCCATGGAAACGTTTTTTGTTTATATTTAAAGAACAGTAGTATTATTTCAAGACTTCCCGTATTTTTGGTTGTAGTTCTGATTCACTGATTTTGATGGACAGTTCGGCATCTGATTGGCTAATCCCTGACCATAGTAACTGTGGGCGTGGTCTAATTAATAAACGGCTTTAGCTGATCAGCATGTCTCACCTTATTTGACATCATTTTTGAGTTAATTTATTGATAGTTGATTTACACACACGTGCATTCAGCTACAATGTTTTGGTAGGATCAAGGTTCCTTTCTGTAGGATGGTAAATTATTCGAATGCTGGATCGGCGAAGAGGAACAAAGTGCGTTAAAACTACTCTTCTAGTGCCGGGCGGGGCTAGAAGATTGATATAGCCACTACACGGGCTGACGCTCTGATTGGTCCGTTCAGACAGGTACAGATGATGTCATCAGTGAAGGTGCAGTGTGCGGTGAAGGCGAGCGCTCTGATTGGTGAAGGGCCGGTGTGGAGGAGCTAGAACAGACGCTGCTGTTTGTTGACATCGCTGGACAGAAAATCCACCGCTGGAGCCCAGCGACCAATCAGATCCAGTCTGTGGAGACAGGTCACCCAATCAGCACGTAGGAAACATTCAGCTGAGTTTATCAATGAAGTATTAATCACACCTGCGCGTCCATCCTCAGGTGACACAGTGGGCTTCGTGGTTCCTCGCAGGGCAGGTGGTTATGTTGCAGGCGTGGGTCGCAGCATTGTGGCCGTTGATTGGTCGACTCAGACAATGACATCATTGGTGGAGGTTGATGGTGACAAACCGAACAACCGACTGAATGACGGGAAGGTCGATCCGATAGGACGCCTGCTGGCAGGTCAGTCTGGTCACCTTTCTGTCTACCCGTCTGTCTACTCTATTTACCGGTCTGTTTACCTGTCTACCTCCCTGTTTACCTGTCTGTCTGGTTACTGGTCTGTCTACTTGTCTGGTCATCTTTCTAGTCACCTGTCTGTCTACCTTCCTTTCTGAAGTAGCGTTTCCATGGTAACACTGTATAGTATTTCAGGTACAATGGGGAAGGAGGTCCGACCTGCGGAGGTTCAGAGACAACAAGGATCCCTGTTCTCTGTGACCTCTGACCTGACTGTGACCAGACACCTGGACCAGGTAAGATCCCCTGTCAGTATCTGTCTGTCACCTGTCGGTCACCTGGACTGACCCATCTGTCTCTCAGGTGGACATATCTAACGGGTTGGACTGGTCTCTTGATCACCGGACATTTTTCTACATCGACAGTTTGTCTCTGACCGTTGACGCCTTCGACTACAACTCACACACGGGACACCTCGGTAACTGTGTACTTGTACTGCAGTATTTCTGGTTTATAATACAAATACAACATATACATAATGAGAAAGTTGTGCTGCTGTTCAATCAGTGACACAATACTGTTATTTATACTATGTTTTGATGTGTTGCCTAGGTAACCGCCGTGTAGTGTACCGTATGGAGGAGGGGGAGGGGCTTCCAGACGGGATGACGGTTGACGGTGAAGGTCGTCTCTGGGTGGCCTGTTACAATGGAGGACGCGTCATCAACATCGACCCTGCGACGGGTTAGTTATACTGGTTAAACTGGAGGACAGGTCATTAACATCGACCCTGTTACTGGTTAGTTATACTGGTTCTACCGGAGGACGGATGAGGTTTCAGTATGTGTCCTAAATAACTGAAGCCCACCATCATTAGAACCATTAGTACTAGTACAGATCATTCTGGTTCAGGTTCTAAATGGATGAAGATAGAGACCATCAGCACTGGTTCTACTGGTTCTGCTGGTTCAGGTTTTGTATGTGCCCTTGTTCCAAAGTGCTGCTGCTGATGATCCACCTGTTGTCTCAGGTGTTCGGCTGCAGACGGTCTCTCTGCCGGTGATGAAGACCACCTCATGTTGTTTCGGAGGTCCGGACTACTCTGACCTCTATGTGACCTCAGCCAGTCTGGGCCTTGACCAATCAGAGAGACAGCAGCCGCTGGCCGGAGACACTTTCAGGGTAAGACTGTTTCACAGACTCACCTGTGTTCCCTGTCTCACACCTGGTGATGCTGACAGGTGTGTGTGTGTGTGTGTGTGTGTGTGTGCGCAGGTGACAGGACTCGGGGTCAAAGGTCGTCCTTCAAACTCATTCTCTGGATGAATTTCAGGAGACTTGAACAGCCAATCACAGCACAGATCAACTGCAGGAAGTGATCACCTGTTGGATTAATCCTGTCAGAGAGCTGTTAATGATCAATAGTTATTAAGTGGATCAATAAAATGTCATCGTGACTTCATGCTAAATATTTGTTACTAAATAAATGACAGACTGACAACCAATCAGAAACAAGGAAACTGGCAGATTTTCAACAGCCAATCAGAATCAGTCATTGTTTTGTAACTTTGAATAAAACTTGGGACCAGCGGCTGAGGATTGTGGGTAATGTGACTTCAGGGCACACCGTGTTAATGAAGTACCACAGAATGAACATAACAATATCTGAATAGAGTGCGTATAAATACTCGATACGCCGGAGAACGCTCCCTAACGCATCCTAAAAACAAACCTGCCGGGACAGCGTCCTTAACGTGGTCAAAGAAAAGAGACGAGGACACAGCTTTTCTAAATGGATAAACGGAGAGAAGAATGTGGCCAGGTGTTTCAAGAACCCTTCATGTCCACAGTTATTATTAAGGAACCGTGGTTATGTTCTCCAGGCCACTTTACTGATCAACTCTGTAACCGTGGATACTCTCTTCTATTCCGTTCTATTTTTCCAAACTAAAATCCAGAGGAGATGTAGTTTCTGTACGTGTGCCTGTGATCATATCTGCCCTACTTTTCAAAGATGTGATGAATTATAACAAAACAGACGTGCATCTCACATACTATCACTTTTTTCACACCAAATAAAACACGTGTTGTACTCACGTACTGTACAGAAACAAGTCTGAAGTAGTACTATGTCTCTGACACACTGAGATGAAAGTATGCTACCTGTGTGCTGTTAAATACATGACGTTAAAACATGAGTTGAATTTTACTCCTGTGCTGCAAGAGCTGTTCAAAAGAACCTCGATAATGTTTTTAATAATTCCTGCATGAAAGGCTTAAAACTTTCCCAGCGCGCACATCTGGTACCTCCAGTGAGCTGAGGTGGAACCACGGCTACTTTGTGGCTGCAGGGGAACTTTCAGTACATGTGTCTGTGGTCCTTTCTCTGTGCTGGACTTCTCTTAAGGACCCGACGGCTTCATCCACTTCCTTTTTAACTTTGTGTGAACTTGAATCTCTTCATTAAACTCAAACAAGACTACTTCACGGCAGTTTCCTTCGGCGTTGCTATGACGACCGGCTACCCTAAGAGGGTACGATATGCAATGGAAGACGGAGGACAGAACCGGGCCGGGTCAAGAGCTGGTTACATCAGAAATCAGAATCCAGCCCCTCCGGGAGCCTCATGTGGAAGTCGAGGACTCGTTCGGGTCCACGAGCTGCTGATACAGCACTGAGAAACTGAAGCATCAGATGTCTAAAGTGAGAGACGGCAGCGTCATGGAGACAGGGTGCGTTTTATTTACACCACCAAGTGCAGAATCACCACCAACATCCAACAAACACCAAACAGTACGAGCAACGCTACACAGCTCTCTAGAAAATGTATGTACACGTAGAAAACTTGTGCTGTTTCACTTTTTCTCTTGTTTTGACTTGAAATGATGGTTTAAGGTCTGAAATAAAGAGGGGGACGGGGTGAGGGACGGGAGGGGGAGGAAGTGTTGATGCAGGACTGTTGGGACCGGACAGGCAAACGGGGACCCCAGAAACACTGGAGGACAGCACTGCGGGCCTGTTCCCATCTGTCCAGGTCTGTCCGTCCACGTTGGTCCAGGGGTGTCCATGTCCAGAGCCTCAGCAGCACTCCTTCATGAATCCGTCCGGACTCTCAGCTGTGTGGAGTCAAACCTGGAGCGGGTGAAGACGGTCCTTGTTCGGTTGTCTGCTACAGCGCCCCCTCACTGCGGTGCTTCAAACTGCATTCAAATACTTCCATTAAGTTACTGGATAAAACATGTTGGAGACTGAAGTTGTGCTGGAGTGGGTCTGGTGCTATGCTAACGGGCTAACAGCAGGACTTCAGGGGGGTCCAGCCAGAGGACGGATAAACAGAGTTTGGCTCTAAAGGTCAGTTTGACCCTCTGTTTGTGAATGCTAATGCTTTATGATAACACTGTTTCCTGTTTGTCGTCGGAGGGGGCTAAGAAACGTGCCAGACTCTGTGTATCCCTGACTCTGGTAAGGCTGTTAAATACAGTAGAAGACAGTAGTACACAATGTAGTGAAAGGATTAGAACCCTGTACAAGACACAGATTTTAGGAACCCAGAAGAACCACAGACCTTCTGACCCTGAACCAGGACTTCGGAGGCTGGAACAGAATCCTGCTGACCTTTGTTTCAGAATGTTTCTAAGAAATGATTGACATGTAGAGTTAGCTGAAAGTTTCCTCACCGACTGAACAGAGCCAGAACCTTCTGGAAAGTCTTTGCAGTCGTAGCTGTTGGTAAAGCACTTGTGAGGTGAACACGTGACCTTAACAACACCAGACTCTGAACATTACATTTAACCGGCCTACAGTTTGTTGATAATGTTTTTTTAAAATGAGGCACAACTCGGGCAGGAACATCATGTTTCTGTAACCATGTCTTCATCGTACGGATTCATCCCAACCCGAGGACATTGTCCTCCAGGTCAAGGGAAAGGAACTTTATTTAGTCCTTTAATAACGTGTAGCTGAGATTGTCTTTCAGCCATACCACATAGCAGATGGAATTTTCCAGTTGTGGTGGAGCTTTATGTTTAAATGTTTTTGATTTTAGGATGAACTTGAATCTAAATGTTTTACCCACATGGAAAAGAGCTCCTAAAGGGCTCTAAAAATGGAAAACACCACCTGCTGAGGAAGACCATGTGATATGATCAAAAGGTCAAGACCGCCACAACAGACACTGAGTGTTTCTTGTCTTGAGGTTGTTGGATCTCGAGCCGGACTGACTCCAGATCGGCCTGTTGATGTTGTTTAGTATCCGCTCAGAAACAAGGTGTGTTGTTGTACATGGTGCTGCTCCTCCAGCTGTGTGCAGTCAACAGACTTTAAGTTGCCAGATTTTTGAATGGAGTTTGGTTTGACAGCGTTCAGGCCAGAGTGGAACAGACAGCAGATGTGAAAACAAAAACTTAAAAGGTCAGAGGTCAAACGTCAGAGGTCAGGTGATGTCTGGGCACCTGGTCTGTGCACAAATGGACCAATAAAATAACATACAAAACATGATGTCATCAGTTCACATCGATTGATCAGAAGTGTTGAAAGTGCTAATTGGTCATTGATTAGAAGTGGGCGTGGTCTCAGCTGGAGCCTGCCCTCTCTCTGATGTAATCCCTCAGTAGTGTTCCTCAGAGTGGGCGGGGTCACAGAAGAAGCGAGAGCTGCGTTTGGCCGATCGGGCCGTGAAGGGGACGGTCTTAAGAGCTGCAGGTGAAAAAAACAAAGGCAGCCAATCAGAAAACAGCCGGGAAACACTTGTTCCCCTATGAAGACATACATACCTGTAATGATGTCCTCTATGGCGCCGTCCTTCCCTTCATAAACATGGCGGCTGTCTTTCCCTTGTCGTCGTCTGAGCTCAGTGAGCAACTCCTGCTGCTGCCGCTTCCCCCTGTGGGACGGAGACTGTGGGGGGCGGGGGGGGGGGTTAAATTTGACATTTAAAAACACTGAGGGCTGTCCGTCATGTAACGAGCGTCATGAAAAGAGCGTCAGGTAACATCAGGAGTGTCATGTAACGAGTGTCATGTCAGGAGCCCACTTTCTAACTTTCTAAGTGAAACCACTTGTCCACTTAGAAAAATGGATAACGATCCATCAGTGAGTGTTTGACCACCACAGGTAAGAGGTCAGTCTTACCTTGGTCTCCTCCTCCTCCTGCTGCTCCTCCTGCTCCAGTTTCTCCAGTAACATCTGCTCCTGGCGCCTCCTTTGCTCGTTCTCCTCCTCCGCCAGCTGAACACACAAACACACAGTAAATACACACCAGTCTCTTTTTGGGTTATAGGCCCTGCCTCCAGCATGTCAGCATTTCAACACCAATGAATTCATAACAAGTCCTGACTGTACCTTTAGGAGGAGCTTCAGACCACGTTAGACCACGCCCCCTGTTGAGTGGGAGGAGTCTGAGATGTTTTGCGTTTACTCACCCTGTATGCTTTGATGAAACGAACAAAGATGGGGAAGAAGACAGATGGTGGCATCGTCTTTGAGCTCTCTCCAAAAAATTTGACCACGTCTTCAAATGCGTCCTGGAGTCCAAACAAAGGGCCAGATTTACTTAAAGGTCTGCATGAGTAAAAATGTGTGCAAACTTGATATCACCAACAAATTAGCACGTAAGCTGATGTACTAACGGTGTGCATGCAGAATGACGTCTTTCAAAAGTGCAAGATGGCATCTGTTGTTCATTTACTACTTTTGCCTTAATGAATATGCAATTTGGGGAGTTTCAATCTTATTGTGCAAAGTAATGGGAGGGTAACATGCAAATACATTTATTCACTACACGCAGTGTGATCTACCAAGTCTAAACGCAATTTCATGTGAGTGCAACAGCATCTGTATTTAATACGTTTGAAAGGAAGGTGCAAACTGGCGAGTGAGACACAGCCATAATGAAAGAAGTAGAGCCTGCGGAGAGCCCCCAGCTGCGGTAGTGCATGGATCACGCCTAAAATCCATCCAGCCAGAGGGAACGATCACCAACTGTTCACAGCGCACCGGTCGTAACAGCAACAACCCATTGTAGGTATCGGAGAGGGAATGGGGCGTTGGGGCGTACAGGGACAGAAGATTGCAGAGCGACCGGGCACGGTGCGGACGGTCAGGGATTGTTCCCTCTGGCTGGATGAAGCACGATCTGCTGGCATTTCCTTGCATCTGGGTCATTCCAGCATACTGTATCTGTTTCTGCTGGGGTTTCCCCAAGCAGTCTTTCGGGTGTGCTGTCCCAAGTACTTAGTGCAATCTCAGGCACGATGGAAAGGTACATTCGATTTCCAGATACTCCAGATACTATAATTTGTAGTCCAAACTTGCAGTCCTGATTTTGTAGACCTAATTTTGTAGTCCTAACTTTGTAGTGCTAACTTTGTAGTCCTGACTTGCAGTCCTAACTTTGTAGTCCTAACTTTGTAGTCCTAACTTTGTAGAGGACTACCAAGTTAGGACTACAAATCAAAAAGAGCTCGTACTTTAAAAGCCCTGAAAAGGTTTTGACATTATGCAAATAACGAGTCTTTGCACTGTGCTGTGATTAGACAGCTGTCATCAGCATGTTAGTGTTGTCTCACCTGAGCAATGCGTGCGTCCTCCTGAAGTTTGTTGAGTCGTGATTCATGCCTGCTGATGAAGTCTTTGAGCGTGGAGTTGTGTTGAATGCTGAACTCCCTCCAGGTGAGCTCCATGCCGCGCTGCAGCTCCTTCACATCACACAGCACGTTCTCCAGACTCACTGTACACAGGTGAGGACATGCAGGTGAGCAATACGCAGGTGAAGACACACAGGTGAGGAGACGCAGAGGAGGACACGCAGGTGAGGAGACGCAGAGGAGAACACACAGGTGAGGAGACCCAGAGGAGGACACGCAGGTGAGGAGACCCAGAGGAGGACACGCAGGTGAGCAGCACGCAGGTGAAGACACACAGGTGAGCAACCCGCAGGTGAAGACATGCAGGTGAGCGGCACGCAGGTGAGCGGCACGCAGGTGAGGAAACACAGAGGAGGACATGCAGGTGAGCAGCACGCAGGTGAAGACATGCAGGTGAGCGGCACGCAGGTGAGGAAACACAGAGGAGGACACGCAGGTGAGCAACCCGCAGGTGAAGACATGCAGGTGAGCGGCACGCAGGTGAGCAACCCGCAGGTGAAGACATGCAGGTGAGCGGCACGCAGGTGAGCAGCACGCAGGTAAGCAGCATGCAGGTAAGCAGCACGCAGGTGAGCGGCACGCAGGTGAAGACACACAGGTAAGCAGTACGCAGGAGAGCGACACGCAGGTGAGCAGCACTCAGGTGAGGAGATGCAGGTGAGCAGCACGCAGGTGAGCAGCACGCAGGTGAAGACACACAAGTGAGCGACATGCAGGTGAGCGACATGCAGGAGAAGACACACAGGTGAGGAGACGCAGGTGAGCGACACGCAGGTGAAGACATGCTGGTGAGCGACACGCAGGTGAGCGACACACAGGTGAGCAGCACTCAGGTGAGGAGATGCAGGTGAGCAGCACGCAGGTGAGCAGCACGCAGGTGAAGACACACAAGTGAGCGACATGCAGGTGAGCGACATGCAGGAGAAGACACACAGGTGAGGAGACGCAGGTGAGCGACACGCAGGTGAAGACATGCTGGTGAGCGACACGCAGGTGAGCGACACACAGGTGAGGAGACGCAGGTGAGCGACACGCAGGTGAGGACACACAAGTAAGCAGCACGCAGATGAGCAGCACGCGGGTGAAGACACACAGGTGAGCGACATGCACGTGAGGAGACGCAGGTGAGCAGCACGCAGGAGAGCGACACGCAGGTGAGCAGCACGCAGGTGAGCAGCCGCAGGTGAGCAGCATGCAGGTGAGCAGCACGTAGGTGAAGACACACAGGTGAGCGACATGCAGGTGAGGAGACGCAGGTGAGCGACACGCAGGTGAGCGACACAAAGGTGAGCGACATGCACGTGAGGAGACGCAGGTGATCAGCACGCAGGTGAAGACACACAGGTGAGCGACATGCACGTGAGGAGACGCAGGTGATCAGCACGCAGGTGAGCAACACACAGGTGAGGAGATGCAGGTGAGCAACACGCAGGTGAGCAACATGCAGGTGAAGACACACAGGTGAGCAGCACGCAGGTGAGGACACGCAGGTGAGCGACACACAGGTGAGGAGACGCAGGTGAGCGACATGAAGGTGAAGACATGCAGGTGAGCGACACACAGGTGAGCGACACACAGATGAGCAACACACAGGTGAAGACACACAGGTGAACACACAGGTGAGCAGCACGCAGGTGAGGACACGCAGGTGAGCGACACGCAGGTGAGCGACACGCAGGTGAGCGACACGCAGGTGAGCGACATGCAGGTGAAGACACGCAGGTGAGCGACACGCAGGAGAGGAGAACACGGGGTGTTTGAAGCGCTGTGATTGGTTGACTCACCTGCGGCAGCCTTGTCCACATAGTGCAGCTCGTTGTAAAACAGAGACACTGCAGGATATTTCTCTCTCACCACGTTGGAGATGTAATGAAGCAGCGTCTGTTTCCTGTCTGTCGACTTGGTGTCCAGTAGCTGAACACAAACACAATCTTATTATCATCTCATTATCATATCCCTTCCAGATTACCAATCAGGGGTGTGTTAGTGAGTATGAGTGTTACCAGGTCTAAACTCTGCAGCTTGAATCCGTACACAGCTCCTCTCTTACTGCTGTTCATGTAGTTTCCCAGAGCCAAGATGATCTGCAACAACACACTTGTCACAGCCTGCATGTCTTTCTATGGACATTTAATATTCACGTCCTTTATTTATATATGCAGTGTATCGTGTACACGGATTGTGTATATACAGTATATCGTGTACACGGATTGGGTATATGCAGTATATCGTGTACACAGGTTGTGTATTTATATATATGCAGTGTATCGTGTACACAGGTTGTGTATTTATACATGCAGTGTATCGTGCATACAGGTTGTGTATTTATACATGCAGTGTATCGTGTATACAGGTTGTGTATTTATACATGCAGTGTATCGTGCATACAGGTTGTGTATTTATACATGCGGTGTATCGTGCATACAGGTTGTGTATTTATACATGCAGTGTATCGTGCATACAGGTTGTGTATTTATACATGCAGTGTATCGTGCATACAGGTTGTGTATTTATATATGCAGTGTATCGTTTAGACAGGTTGTGTATTTATACATGCAGTGTATCGTGTACACAGACTGACCTCGAGGATCTTCTTGAGCTTCTGAGACGATTTTATAGAAACTGAAGCAGCGATCATGGCGTGGAGTTGCTGAGAGGAAACACAAGACAGTGAGACAGGTCTCATCCACCTGTCTGTCTGTTTAACTCTCCACCTGTCTGTCTGTATAACTCTCCACCTGTCTGTCTGTATAAGTCGCCACCTGTCTGTCTGTCTGTCTCAACCTGTCTGTCTGTATAACTCTCCACCTGTCTGTCTCCACCTGTCTGTCTGTTTAACTCTCCACCTGTCTGTCTGTATAACTCTCCACCTGTCTGTCTGTTTAACTCTCCACCAGTCTGTCTCTACCTGTCTGTTTAACTCTCCACCTGTCTGTCTCCACCTGTCTGTCTAACTCTCCACCTGTCTGTCTCTACCTGTCTGTCTGTATAACTCTCCACCTGTCTGTCTCCACCTGTCTGTCTGTATAACTCTCCACCTGTCTGTCTGTATAACTCTCCACCTGTCTGTCTGTTTAACTCTCCACCAGTCTGTCTCTACCTGTCTGTTTAACTCTCCACCTGTCTGTCTCCACCTGTCTGTCTAACTCTCCACCTGTCTGTCTCTACCTGTCTGTGTGTTTAACTCTCCACCTGTCTGTCTCCACCTGTCTGTCTGTATAACTCTCCACCTGTCTGTCTAACTCTCCACCTGTCTGTCTCCACCTGTCTGTCTCTACCTGTCTGTGTGTTTAACTCTCCACCTGTCTGTCTCTACCTGTCTGTCTGTTTAACTCTCCACCTGTCTGTCTCTACCTGTCTGTCTGTTTAACTCTCCACCTGTCTGTCTCTACCTGTCTGTCTGTATAACTCTCCACCTGTCTGTCTGTCTGTTTAACTCTCCACCTGTCTGTCTCCACCTGTCTGTCTGTTTAACTCTCTACCTGTCTGTCTGTTTAACTCTCCACCTGTCTGTCTGTATAAGTCGCCACCTGTCTGTCTGTCTGTCTCAACCTGTCTGTCTGTATAACTCTCCACTTGTCTGTCTCCACCTGTCTGTCTCTACCTGTCTGTGTGTTTAACTCTCCACCTGTCTGTCTCTACCTGTCTGTCTGTTTAACTCTCCACCTGTCTGTCTCCACCTGTCTGTCTGTATAACTCTCCACCTGTCTGTCTGTGTAACTCTCCACCTGTCTGTCTCCACCTGTCTGTCTGTTTAACTCTCCACCTGTCTGTCTCCACCTGTCTGTCTGTTTAACTCTCCACCAGTCTGTCTCTACCTGTCTGTCTGTTTAACTCTCCACCTGTCTGTCTCCACCTGTCTGTCTCTACCTGTCTGTCTGTTTAAATCACCACCTGTCTGTCTCTACCTGTCTGTCTGTTTAACTCTCCACCTGTCTGTCTCCACCTGTCTGTCTGTTTAACTCTCCACCTGTCTGTCTCCACCTGTCTGTCTCTACCTGTCTGTGTGTTTAACTCTCCACCTGTCTGTCTCCACCTGTCTGTCTCCACCTGTCTGTCTCTACCTGTCTGTCTGTTTAACTCTCCACCTGTCTGTCTCTACCTGTCTGTCTGTATAACTCTCCACCTGTCTGTCTGTGTAACTCTCTACCTGTCTGTCTCAACCTGTCTGTCTGTTTAACTCTCCACCTTTCTGTCTGTTTAACTCTCCACCTGTCTGTCTCTACCTGTCTGTCTGTTTAACTCTCCACCTGTCTGTCTCTACCTGTCTGTCTGTATAACTCTCCACCTGTCTGTCTCCACCTGTCTGTCTCTACCTGTCTGTTTAACTCTCCACCTGTCTGTCTCTACCTGTCTGTCTGTATAACTCTCCACCTGTCTGTCTCCACCTGTCTGTCTCTACCTGTCTGTATAACTCTCCACCTGTCTGTCTCCACCTGTCTGTCTGTATAACTCTCCACCTGTCTGTCTCCACCTGTCTGTCTCTACCTGTCTGTCTGTTTAACTCTCCACCTGTCTGTCTCCACCTGTCTGTCTCCACCAGTCTGTCTGTTTAACTCTCCACCAGTCTGTCTGTTTAACTCTCCACCTGTCTGTCTGTCTTACCGGCGTTAACATCTGGACGTTGTCAGTGAAGTTGCCCATGAAGGTCATGATGGACATGCGCTGACTGAGTCTTTCGATACGACTGAACTGCATCATGAAGCGGTCTTCGTCGCTCAGAGCCTCCAGAGGCTTTCTGTCCCTCTCATATTGCCGTAGAAGCTTCACCTCTGCCTCCGTCGGCAGGAAACGCATCAGACACTCCACAAAGTCGACCCGGACTGTTCGCAGGTCAAACCTGCAGAAACACAAACCAGACTGTTCACGTACAGGGAGTCCTTTAAATCTGAACCAGAACTTTAAATGTAGAACTGCTAAAGCACTGCTGTAGGGAGTCTCCAGGTAGCCAATCAGAACACACGTCTGAGGTTAACCGCCTTGTCATCGTCTCGGTTTAGTCATCTAGGTCCTTGAGAAATATATTTTGTTTAGTTTGGTCTGACGAAAGTGACAGTGACACACACTAACATGTGATCTGTTCCGGAGGGCGATCTCTCAGCTGGGTGCAATCAGTTCTAATGCACCTGTTGGCAGTTGGACTCACACTACTTCATTTGCAGCTAGCCCCAAATCAATATGCCTCCTTTGAATATCATGCTGTCTCGGTGACCGCTCCAGTAAAAGTCTCAGTGATTGTGATATAATGTACACCAGGACAAATAGGTGACTTTGTAGAGGAGCTAGATACATTGCTGTCTTCAATCCCAGAGCATGACTGTCTGTTACTTGTGCTCGGTAACGTGAACATTCACTTAGACAAATCAAACTCAGCAGACTTCCTGTCTCTGGTTCATTCCTTTGATCTAGAACGGTTTCTCAGCCCCCCGATCCCACAAAGCTGGCAAGGTACTCCTTGACCTCGTTCTTGTCCGAAACTGTGCCACCGAATGCAAAACAGTGACCACACCTAACCCTCGCCACGTTCAACTAAACCTCTCTAAGACTGAACTCAATCTATCCACCATAACATCAAACTACAAACTGACTTCTCAACCATCACTCCAACCAGGGAGGTGAGAAACTTGGGTGTCATGATTGATGACCAGCTGTCCTTTTCAGACCATGTTGCTGCTGTCTCTCGGTCGTGCCGCTTTGCTCTGTACAACATAAGGAAAATCAGGCCCAACCTCACTCAGTACGCCACCCAGCTTCTGATACAGGCCGTGGTTACCTCTCATCTCGACTACGGCACTGACCTCCTATCAGGTCTTCCAGCTTGTGCAGTGAAACCCTTACAAATGGTTCAGAACGCAGCAGCACGTCTGGTTTTTGATCAGCCCAAAAGGACTCATGTCACTCCATTACTCAGTGACCTCCACTGGCTCCCCGTGGCCTCCAGAATCAAATTCAAGTCCCTAATGCTTGCATACAGAGTGACTACTGGGTCCGACTCTGCACCCATGAAATAAAACCAGGCAGTCTTGTCTTGTACTGCTCAGATCTGATTGTCTGCTGTCAGAACGGCGCAAAGTGTGCCGATGTTCTGCCTCAGTCAGCCTGACCCTGCTGCAGCCTGGTTCTGGTTAGGACACCCTGCTACTCATAGAGTTTGTCTCTAGTAGAGTTACAGTCGGAGGAAATGATGCTTGTGTTATTGGTACTGGTGGACTGTGACTTACGTGTGGATGGCCCGGCAGATGACCTCTGGCCCTTGGCCGGCCTTCCTGAGGGTGATGGCCAGGTTTTTGGCTCTGTTGGCCTCAAGCAGAGAGACTTTGGACGGAGCTTTCTGAGGAAGCTTCTGTCTGGACAGAGTCAAGTCCACCGCTGGACCCTGAGCCTTCGTCTTGAACAGCTCCTCAAACCCCTCCACATCCAGGTCCTGAGAGTGAGGCAGGTTTATAGAGGGAGAAACAGGTAGTTAAAGAGCTCATAGTACCTTACTACCCCACCAGAGCACTGCACTCCCAGAATGCAGGGTTACTTGTGGTTCCTAGAGTCTCCAAAAGTAGACTAGGAGCCAGAGCGTTCAGCTATCAAGCTCCTCTCCTGTGGAACCAGGTTCCAGTTTGGGTTCAGGAGGCAGACACCATCTCCACATTTAAGAGTAGGCTTAAGACTTTCCTCTTTGATAAAGCTTATAGTTAGGGCTGGCTCAGGTAGTCCTGAACCATCCCTTAGTTATGCTGCTATAGGCCTAGACCGCCGGGGGATTTCCCATGATGCACTGAGCTCCTCTCTCCTCTACTTTCTCTCCCTCTGTATGCAACCTATCCCATTATTGCATGTTACTAACACAACTTCTCCCCTTTCTGGTAGTCTTGTGCTTTCTCGTCCTCTCCTCTCTCCTCCTATCACTTCCTGCAGGTTTTCTGGCTCTGGAGCTGTGGAGTCTGGATCTGTGGTTGCGGGTCACCTGCTGCCCCCGTGTTCCTGCTCGACACCCTCTGCTGCAACAACTATTGTTACTAGTCCTATTGTTATTATTGTTATTATAATCATTAACATTACGACTGTTACCATTAACACTATATAAATATCTGTACCATTTTTCATTTAGTCTATAGCAACATCACCTTTACTGTCTGTACCTCTGTGTGGATATTGTGTAGGCTGCCTCCCTCCCCTCCCTCCTCCTCTCTCTCTCTCTCTCTCTCGGCCGCCCACCCTGAGTCATGGTTCTGCTCGAGGTTTCTGCCTCTTAAAGGAAGTTTTTCCTTGCCTCTGTCGCCTAGTGCTGCTCTTGGTGGGAACTGTTGGGCTTCTGTAAATAACATCACAGAGTACGGTCTAGACCTGCTCTTTATGAAAAGTGCTGTGAGATAACTGTTGTTGTGATTTGGCGCTATATAAATAAAATTGAAATTGAAGCAGCTCCTCAAACCTCCAGATCCAGGTCATGAGAGACAGACAGACGGGAGGATGAGAAGTATTAGTCTTTTTAGGAGAGCTCTTCTTGAAAATGTAGAAATGTCAGCCCTGATTACTGCGTTTCAGGCTTTCCTTCAGGCCGTTCAGTCCTGACACCATCCAGCAATAAGACAGGGCAGCCTGGCAGGTGAAACCCAGGGTTAAAAAAGGTCAACCACTCACTCTTATTGCTGTGAGTTAACAAATAAACTGACTCCTCAGCAGCTCCTCTCCTTCTTGACCCGGTTTAGGGTTGTCTGGTATACAAGGAAGGTTAAGGTCAAGGGCAACTTTATTGGACTTCGATGACTGAGAACCTTCACAGACTTTATCACGCCAATAACTGAACTTCATTCAGAGCGTCTCTTTACTTACCTGCAGAATGGACTCATCGTCGATGTCATTGAACACAGTCCCGTTGATCTGACTCGGCTTCAGGGCGACCCAGTTCAACACCGGCATCCTGAACTTCGTCTGGATGGGCTTCTTTATCTTCACCGCTGCACAGTAGTGAGAGAGGGACAGGTGAGCAGGGAGACAGGTTGTCCATTGCAGATTTACTCGGAGAATGATCTGACTACAGAAGGGGGGGGGGTTAACCCTGAACCCTGAACCCCATCCAAAGGTACCAGAAGCTCATATGCTATTAAACCAGACTTAGACTGATAACAGCCTGGAGGGGAGGCTGGGGTCATGGTTTTATACCCCTGCCCTTAATCCTACAGTGTGAGCTATGCAAGTAACCACGCATTTATACTTGTGTCTGCATTGTTCTGCAATTACTCTGCCAAAATGCTACTTAGCCCTAACTCTATAGCATCCACTGTGTTCAGCCCTCCACTAACTTGAATTGGGGTAAAATAATAATCGTGCGCTCTTCTAGACTTTCCAAATGTTGTCGATTAAATGGATCAAACTCTGATAGTGAAACGTGTCATGTGGCGGGGTGACGCTCAAAAATATTGATGCACTGTGTGACAGCCGCTAGTTTGGCCACGAGTAAAATTTACTTTAAAGTACGAAGCACTTCCTGTGGGCTTGGAGGAAATGCAGTGCTACCAAGACGACCAGTCACAGTTCTGTGTTGATAAATTTTGCACCGCTTTTGTCTAACCCTGATCAGACTGTGACTGATCTCAGATCTGTTCTCTAACCCTGATCAGACTGATCTCAGATCTGTTCTCTAACCCTGATCAGACTGATCTCAGATCTGTTCTCTAACCCTGATCAGACTGTGATCTCAGAACGGTTCTCTAACTTCTCTACTACTCTTTTATTTCTCTCAGTTTCTGCTCTTTTCTCTCCACATGGATGATCCATTGATCAAGTCAAGTTAAAACATTTTCAGCTCGCACAGAGAATCTTTCATTTGACTTTATATCCCGTTCACCTTCACTCTGACCAAACTAAAGAGGTCAACAAACCAGCTAATCGCTGGCTGTGCTGGAGGCTGATGGGTGGGGCTTAGTGTCAAGGAGAGGTTTCTAGAGGGATGATGGAGGAATGGAAAGATAGAAAGAGTGTAAGTAAACGTACAGAATAACTTGAGAGGACCCTCTGTCAGCAAAAAGAGAGAAAACACAACATTAGTATCATTAAATTCACAACAGGTCAGATTTCACTTGTAGCATGACAGAACTCTTGTGATAAATAAACAGAACAGCTGTGACTCCGGTGTTTGTGATGAACGAACGTGTTAAGCTGCAGCAAACACCAGGCTGAGCAACAGATCATGACTTTTACCCTAACCCAGTAAACAGCAGCTCAGTGAGAACCAGGCCAGCTTCCTTTCAGAGGAGGAGGCGTCAGTAAGACATTAACATCCCTGCTCATCAGATGGTTCTTAGAAACATCTTCCACATCAACAGAAACTCGGACAACAGACGGACAGTATCAGTTAAAATGATGTGTGCATTAAAAACGTTGACCTCAGATGTACTAGGTAACCTTATCAAGACATTAGTGATGTTAACAGAAAGCATCACTGCAGTGACATCACTGGTGGGTGTGGTTAGTTCAGCCTGGGTTGGTTATTTCTCGATTTGTCTTTGAATGTGAGACTTTTAACTGAAAGTGAGTGTTTATCTTCCCTACTTTCTCTGCAGCCTGTGAACGCATCAGTCTCACCTGCAAGTCCCGAGTTAAAGATGACTGTGGGCGACCCCCCTGACCCCGGGAGAGGCGGGGCCACAGGGGGAGGGGGGGGGGGCATGGGGACAGAGGATGAGAGCTCGCTGGTCCGACAGGGGGGAGGAGGGGGAGGGGGGGGAGGGGGAGGAGCAGGGGGGGGAGGTGCAGGGTACGACCCATTGGAGACTTGAAAGAAGAGAAGAAGCAAAAACAGGTGTTGTTTAAGTTTAGTATCATACTGGAAGTGATGTTCACTTGGAGTACTAGAAGGATGTGGTAGCAGAAGTAGCACCTTTTAGCAGGAATTCAGTATCAGGTAGTTACTGCAGCGCCCGGACTGGTGGAGCTGAAACTTACCTGTGCCTGGCATTGGTGGTGGAGGCGGGGGCGGGGGTGGGGGCGGCATGTCTGGAGCTCCGCCTATCCCCGGTCCCATGCTGTGATAGGCCACGGTCTCCGGACTGTGAAAATAAATGTTCGAGGTTTTTTGTGGCTGAACTTATTTAGAGCTGAGTTCTGTTAAATTAATTAATAATTTTTTTTAGCCAGCAGAAATCAACAAGTCTGTAAACACAACACAGTCTGGCTTATTATCATTAAGTAGCTGTGACTAACATGTTAGCAAACAGTTTTCCGCTGGCACAAAGCAGTCACTAATTACTTTGGAAACTTCAGAACTCTTTTATTGGTCCTTTATAGGGGTGAGCAGTGACCCTCCAGTCCTGCTCTGTGGCAGGAAAAGACAAGCAGTGATTCTGTTCCAGTGACGTGTGACGTCTGAAATTGCAATTGTAAGTTGCTTTGGATAAAAGCATCAGCCAAATGGCTAATTGTTGTTGTTGTTATACCAGAGTGCTTAGCCGTGTCTCTGTGGTTCTGGCTAGCCTAACGTAGTTTGACCACAATGCTATCCAGAAACATATCAGGTTAGCTTGTCAACAGTTCATAGATTCTTGCTGTTTGGGTGGTGGGCAGCGCTGAATGTGTAGCCCCTCTGAGTGAACGACCTCCAGCAGCTACAGCTGCTTCTTGGTCAGTCATGTTTCTCTCTATGTTAGCTCTGTGTTTGGTCTCCAGCACCTCCTGAAGGACACATCTGACTCTTTAGCTGCTAAATGTTCACCAGCTACTCTCTGACTTAGTCTGTCTCGTAAACGGCGGCGTCTCTCACCTAGGGGACAGGTTAGGACAGGGTGGAGGTGAAGGTGAGGCGGAGTCAGCCACCCCCCCATCCCCCTCTCCTCTCTGGGGTTGAGGAGCTCCAGGTCCTCCGGCCTGCTGGGCCTCCTGAGCCTGACGCTCCAGACGACTTTGGCGCCGGATTGTTTGGTCCTTCTCCCGAACCATCCGCCGCAAGGTGTGCACCTGAGAGTTAGTGCTTGCGTACACATCCTGCACATGTAACAGGTGTGTTAAGAGAGACAGTACAACATGTTGCTGCACAGGTTACAGTTAGGTGGTGTAAGAGGTCAGAAGTATGAAGGTATTGTTGGAGGAAAACCACTGAACACCTGTGAGTCCCACACGTGTTTACAGTGTCACAGAGAAAAAAACTTCAACATTTGCAAACTTTTTTCTCAACAGTTCCAGTTCTCAGATTCTGAGACCCAAAGAATTCTCAGATTCTGAGAACCGAACCAGTGAACAGGTCCAGTTTTCAGATTCTCAGAACTGAAGCATTGAACAGGTCTGAGCAGGTCCAGTTCTCAGATTCTCAGAACCGAACCAGTGAACAGGTCCAGTTTTCAGATTCTCAGAACTGAAGCATTGAAAGGTCTGAGCAGGTCCAGTTCTCAGATTCTCAGAACTGAACCAGTGAACAGGTCCAGTTTTCAGATTCTCAAAACCGAACCAGTGAACAGGTCCAGTTTTAAGATTTTCAGAACTGAAGCATTGAACAGGTCTGAGCAGGTCAAGTTCTCAGATTCTCAGAACCGAACCAGTAAACAGCTCCAGTTTTCAGATTCTCAGAACTGAAGCATTGAACAGGTCTGAGCAGGTCCAGTTCTGAGATTCTGAGAACCGAACCAGTGAAATGGTCCAGTTTTCAGATTCTCAGAACTGAAGCATTGAACAGGTCTGAGCAGGTCCAGTTCTCAGATTCTCAGAACTGAACCAGTGAACAGGTCCAGTTTTCAGATTCTCAGAACCGAACCAGTGAACAGGTCCAGTTTTCAGATTCTCAGAACTGAAGAATTGAACAGGTCCAGTTCTAAGATTCTGAGACCAAAAGAATTGAGCAGGTCCAGGTCTCAGATTTTGAGAACTGAATCAGTGAACAGCCCTGAGACTATTTTATCTGAACTTTCAAAAACAGGTCAGCTGACAGGTAGAGACCCAGCTAAACTTTTACATTCCCAGAACGTCCTGAGAACATCCCCACTGGTATCAAGGACGTCGCCCTGTAATGTTCCTAGAATGTTCCGAGGCGGTCACGTTGTGGAGTTCTTTAAAGGGTTGGGGAACGTTATTTGATAGTCCATTCAGGACGTCCTGGAAATGTGTAAGGATCCATTACCATAGAATATAAATATATCTTCAGCTGCCCTCTTGGACATTCCCTCTAGGTCTCTACACAACATTCCCAAAACATTTGCAGAACATTTAGGTGTTGACCTAGAATGTTATTTTTTGTCCTATTTGGATACTTCCATCGCGTTTACTGAACGTTTTCAGAACCTTCAGTAACAGTAAAGGAACATTTAGGGGCACCTTTACAGAATGTTTGCATTACGGAAACTATTCAGTACCTTTTGGGACCTAAAATTGGTATCTTGAAATACCATCAAAACATGTTTACACCATAAAATATTCAGCTACAATGCAAGACATTCTCAGCATTTCACTTCTTCACTTGTCGTTCCACCTGACAGGGGCTCGGGTGTTTCAGCCTGGTATCTTCAAACAGGAATGGAGACACAAGACGGTTCTTTAATATCTCTCATTAGCATTTTCTGTCTCCATGGTGACTAGGTGACGGGGTGTTGATGGTGCAATGGATAAGATGGATAAGATGCCTGCCTTTGGTGTGAGAGACCTGGGTTCCCCCACTGTGACCCATCCACCAATGTGTCTCTGAGCAAGACACTTAACCCCTAGTTGCTCCAGAGGCGTGCGACCTCTGACATAAATATAGCAATTGTAAGTCGCTTTGGATAAAAGCGTCAGCTAAATGAATAAATGTAAATGTAATGTAAATGTAAATGTTTGTTTCCATGGTAACAGCACTGACCCGGATGTGGTCTAGTTCCTTGTTGGTTTGCATCAGCTGCTTCTCCAGTTCGACGATCTTCAGCATCGCTTCGTTCTCCACATCCAGAAGCCGCTCTGACATCTGAGGACAGAGAAAGACAAGTCAGTACACCTGTCTGTCTCTCCACCTGTCTGTCTTACCGTGTCCAGGCTCTCCTCCAGATCCTAAACGCGTTCCAGAGCAGTAGGTTTGGTTCTTCTTTCTCCTGGTTTATGTGTCTCTCCACCTGTCTCTCTCTCCACCTGTCTTTCTTACCGTGCCCAGGCTCTCCTCCAGCTCCTCCACTCGTTCCAGAGCAGCAGTTTTGGTCTCAGCATCCTCCAGCAGCGTCCCGACGTCAAACACGTTGTCGAGGTAGGCCTGAATCTGGACCTGAAGCCTGTCGCTCTCTGTGTGCTTCAGCCTCTGAGGTGAGACAGGTAGAGAGACAGGTTAATAATACACTTATCCTTTAATCATCAGCCCACATGTGATTGGCTGGGAGTGGATCTTGTGTCCTAGTTACCTCCAGGTGCTCGTCCAGGTTGAGTTTAGTGAAGTCATACTGCAGGTGGACTCTGAAGTTCATGTCCTCTACCGAGTGAACCACGATGTTAATGAACTGCATACAGGCCACCTGACAACCACAGACAGACACAAGCTAATTAAGCCTGGATCACAGGTAAGTTATGTTCAGGTAACCCTAAAGTTAAAATAATGTTTCCTAACACTATGAAGTCTAGAATGAATCCAACAGGAAGGACTGACAGTTCAGATAAAAGTCACCATACCAAAAAGTCGATGTTGTCGTCTTCGTTCTTAAAATGTTCCATCAGCTTCTCAAAACGCATCGTCTCTGAACACACCTGCAACAGATCAATCAATTAACCAATCAACTACACTTGTCCCATCCAGTCTACCATGCATGTACATGACCACTCATACATACAGTGTATTAGTACACATGTGTGAACAGCTGTTGATTCTGTGATTGCTCGAGAGCTCGGGCACCAACAAAGAAGTCATACAGCCGGTGACCTAATCATGTGAAAAGTCATGATGTCACAGTTAAAGTAAACACTGTCAGCAGAACTGTTAGAAAAAGCCAAGTCATAAGTTACTTCCTCATCATCACTATTAGATCACTACTAGATCACTGTTAGATCTCCATAAGGTCACCATTAGATCATTAACAGATCGCCATTAGAACCCCTTTTAGATATACATATACATGTACTCATTTGGCAGACGCTTTTATCCAAACATTTGAGGATCGACATACAAGCATTAACAGAGCATCAAATACAGTACGCGATCTACAACTGACAATACATTCTAGTAGGGGCCGCAATAAATACTAGTAAGAGCTAATGGCACGTATGGCATCAATGGGGTGAATACCTAGGGAAAGAAGTAAGTTAACAAAAAGTGCAACCAATACAAGAGAAATGTAAGGGGATAGAAGAAGAACACAGGAAGTGCATGTTAGGAGTTAGAGGTGTTATAAGAGGAAGTGTTCTCTGAAGAGTTTTCAGCATTTTCTTGAAGTTAGAGAGGGACGCCCCTGCTCTGATGGCGTGTGGTAGCTCGTTCCACCTTCGTGGTGTCACAGATGAGAACAGGGACTGGGATTGCTTTGTGTGAAAGGATGGCAGAGCCAGGCGGCGTTTGTTGGAGGAGCGTCGTGGCCCAGAAGAAACGTAGGCTTGGATTATGGAGTTTAGGTAGATGGTGCAGAACAGTAGTCAGAACCAGAATCAGTAGTCACTCTGTATGCAGCCATAGGAACGGGGAGCCAGTGGAGGTCACTGAGTAATGGAGAGACATGAGTCCTTTTGGGCTGATCAGAAACCAGGCGTACTGAGTGAGGTTGGGCCTGATTTTTTCTTATGTTGTACAGAGCAAAGCGGCACGACTGAGAGACAGCAGCAACATGGTCTGAAAAGGACAGCTGGTCATCAATCAGGACACCCAAGTTTCCCACCACCCTGGTTGGAGTGATGGTTGAGAAGGAGGATAGGAGCATGTGGTAGCCTTAAGGTCTTTGTTTTTTCACCATTTTATTTCAGCGGCTCTGAGATCAGTATGCAGCCTTTGGATGGTATCAGTTAGCCACAGGTGGGGCTGGTTCGGGGCGAGCAGGCTTGGTAGATAGAGGACACAGGCTATCCAGGCACCAGCTCAGTGTAGAGCACAGACTGGGCGACATCATTGACCTCAGTGAGGAGAAGGTGTTGAGGGGAGGTGGAGCGGATGCTTCCACTGAGACAAAGTGAGTGGAGGACAGGTTGTGGAGGTAGATCACCATTAGGTCACCATTAGGTCACTATTAGGTCACCATTAGGTCACTATTAGGTCACCATTAGGTAACTATTGGGACACAATTAGATGACTTTTAGATGATTATTAGATCACTACATCATCATTAGATCACTATTGGATCATGATTAGATCACCATTAGGTCACCATTAGATCTTCATTAGATCATTATTGGGTCAGTATACTACTGTGTCTGTACTGTGTGTAGTGTGTGTGTAGTGTGTGTAGTGTGTGTACTGTGTGTATAGTGTGTGTGTAGTGTGTTGACACTGTGTGTTGTTGTTGTTTACAGTTTTGAAGTTGTCGAAGGCCGACAGGATGATCTCATGTCCTCCTCTGACCAAACACACCGCTGCCAATAACTCCAACACCAGAGCCTTCGTCCTGAGAGACAGAGACAGGTCAGCAGAGAGACAGGTAGATAGACAGGTCAGCAGACAAGTAGAGAGACAGGTCAGCAGAGAGACAGATCAGCAGACAAGTGGAGAGACAGGTCAGCAGATAGACAGGTCAGCAGACAAGTGGAGAGACAGGTCAGCAGATAGACAGGTCAGCAGACAAGTGGAGAGACAGGTCAGCAGATAGACAGATCAGCAGACAAGTGGAGAGACAGGTCAGCAGACACGTTGAGAGAAAGGTCAGCAGATAGACAGGTCAGCAGACAAGTGGAGAGACAGGTCAGCAGACAAGTGGAGAGACAGGTCAGCAGATAGACAGGTCAGCAGACAAGTGGAGAGACAGGTCAGCAGATAGACAGATCAGCAGACAAGTGGAGAGACAGGTCAGCAGACACGTTGAGAGAAAGGTCAGCAGATAGACAGATCAGCAGACAAGTGGAGAGACAGGTCAGCAGACACGTTGAGAGAAAGGTCAGCAGATAGACAGGTCAGCAGACAAGTGGAGAGACAGGTCAGCAGACACGTTGAGAGAAAGGTCAGCAGATAGACAGGTCAGCAGACAAGTGGAGAGACAGGTCAGCAGATAGACAGATCAGCAGACAAGTGGAGAGACAGGTCAGCAGACACGTTGAGAGAAAGGTCAGCAGATAGACAGGTCAGCAGACAAGTGGAGAGACAGGTCAGCAGATAGACAGATCAGCAGACAAGTGGAGAGACAGGTCAGCAGACACGTTGAGAGAAAGGTCAGCAGATAGACAGGTCAGCAGACAAGTGGAGAGACAGGTCAGCAGATAGACAGGTCAGCAGATAGACAGGTAGATAGACAGGTCAGAAGAGAGACAGGTAGAGATACAGGTCAGCAGACAAGTGGAGAGACAGGTCAGCAGATAGACAGGTCAGCAGATAGACAGGTACAGGGGTTGGACAATGAAACTGAGACGCCTCTCATTTTAGTGTGGGAGGTTTCATGGCTAAATTGGACCAGCCTGGTGGCCAATCTCCATTAATTGCACATTGAACCAATAAGAGCAGACTGTGAAGGTCCAATTAGCAGGGTAAGAGCACAGTTTTGCTCAAAATATTGCAATGCACACAACATTATGGGTGACATACCAGAGTTCAAAAGAGGACAAATTGTTGGTGCACGTCTTGCTGGCGCATCTGTGACCAAGACAGCAAGTCTTTGTGATGTATCAAGAGCCACGGTATCCAGGGTAATGTCAGCATACCACCAAGAAGGACGAACCACATCCAACAGGATTAACTGTGGACGCAAGAGGAAGCTGTCTGAAAGGGATGTTCGGGTGCTAACCCGGATTGTATCCAAAAACATAAAACCACGGCTGCCCAAATCACGGCAGAATTAAATGTGCACCTCAACTCTCCGTTTCCACCAAAACTGTCCGTCGGGAGCTCCACGGGGTCAATATACACGGCCGGGCTGCTATAGCCAAACCTTTGGTCACTCGTGCCAATGCCAAAACGTCGGTTTCAATGGTGCAAGGAGCGCAAATCTTGGGATGTGGACAATGTGAAACATGTATTGTTTCTGATGAGTCCGCCTTCACTGTTTTCCCCACATCCGGGAGAGTTACGGTGTGGAGAAGCCCCAAAGAAGCGTACCACCCAGACTGTTGCATGCCCAGAGTGAAGCATGGGGGTGGATCAGTGATGGTTTGGGCTGCCATATCATGGCATTCCCTTGGCCCCATACTTGTGCTAGATGGGCGCGTCACTGCCAAGGACTACTGAACCATTCTGGAGGACCATGTGCATCCAATGGTTCAAACATTGTATCCTGAAGGAGGTGCCGTGTATCAGATGATGACAATGCACCAATACACACAGCAAGACTGGTGAAAGATTGGTTTGGAGAACATGAAAGTGAAGTTGAACATCTCCCATGGCCTGCACAGTCACCAGATCTAAATTATTGAGCCACTTTGGGGTGT